AAATTATATTTTTTTTTTCAATTTCATTCTCATTCAGCTTTTTAATTTGTAAGATTTATTCCTTATTATTTTAATAAACTTAAGAAAAATAAAACATTAATAAGTTATTTTATAACATATTTTTCATGATATAACCAAACACTGGAAAGTGTTTCCAAATTTATTTTTCATTATACTATCAAACATAAAAAAGTAATTCACTTTTCCGGAATCTATTTTTCAAAAAGAAACTACTTCCTAGCAAACAAATAGGGCCTAACTGTGGAGCCAACACTGTTCATTCATACATAAGACATTGTCGCATAAAAGTGCCAGTCGTGCTGGCATTCTAGGAAGATTAGACATGCCGACTTCCCGTTCAGGGTGGAATCAGAATAATGTGGAGTAGAATGACAAAGACATATATAGTGGCATGCCAAAAATTCCAAGAAAGATATATTTTGGTATTTTTAATTTAAAAATAACAAAAATTATATAATTTTAATATTTTTTAATTTGATTTTGATATAAAAATTTATTTTTTTTATTTTTTAGTCATTGATTAAGAGAAAAGAGAGATCACTGAATTCTAGTGTTAATGAGACAAAGATGTTGTTGACTCTAGTTTAGGCCATTTAAATGGTCCATATTGGTGTTAAACAATTCCATTTGATGATGGAAGTTTATATTAGGTCTTTTTTACATTTAAAATTTGTGAAACAAAATATTTAAACTCAAGTTGATTTTTTATTTCAGGTTCTTTTAGGTTTTTAAGATTTTTTTTTGAAACTCAAGTTGATTTTTTATTTCAGGTTCATTTAGGTTTTTAAGATTATTTTTTTTAAGGCCATAAATAGATTTATCATTATTCCTAATATGTTTTCTAGGTATTTTGGGTCAAAAAATAGGTTGAAAAAACAAGTTTTGAAATAAAAAAAAAATTAAGACCTGATTTTTCAGTCATTATAGTGGTCATAATCCAGGCAAAACCATAAGACAGATTGTTTGATTTATTTTTCCCACTCTACATGTAAAAAAGAAAAAGAAGCCAGGTCGCGTTGGCTTGCTAGGGCAAGCCTATGAATGAGCCCTCATAAATGAGCCAACGCGGGTTAGCCTAGCTTAACTGGCCAAGTAGTGTCTAGCCCTTTTTTTATTTTTATTTTTTAAAATTAATGCATTTTTATTTTTTATTTTTATTTTGATTAATACTCATTTTCTCTTTTATTTTATTTAAAAAACCATCTTTTAATTGACAATTATTTTCTTGTTATGCATTTAATTTTTTAAGAGGTTTTTGTAAATCATTTATATTTTTTTATTTTTTGCATAAATAAACTTTATTTCTTAAAATCTATGAAACTTCATAGGTCTATTAGCCTAAGTTGTGCATATGTTTTTTTAGTTTGTTGTAATATCAACTTCATATTTTTATATACTATTAGTTTGCTTTAATAATTTATTTTTCAACTTATTTTTACCTAAAAAACTATAAAAATCTATATAAATCATCCAAGAATCTCTAAATCACTCGAAAAACAACAACTAAATTTTAAAAATCAAAACCCAATACCGCATCCAATAAACTCATCATTTTAAGAAGTGAAACCTTGAACACAAATATCTTTATTTTTATTTGTCATATTGTGGCTAAACGGCAATCTCATCGTTTTCCAACAAGCATTTCTTTTCAATCTCAAACTCTTGAAATAAAATATATAAAAGAACTTTTGAACAATAATAAAATTTTAAAAAACTCAGAGGTTGGCCAAGTATTTTTTTCATGTTCTAGATCGAGCTCCTTTCAGTTTTAATGTAGACTTTCTACACCAATTTAGAACAAAGGAGATAAAAAAAAATAAAAAATCCAAGCATAAAATTCAAAAATAAACAAAGGGACGAAAATGTAAAAAATAGGGGAATTGCTTCACTGTTAATAAGTAATCTGAGAAAAACTCCAATTTTTTTAATGCATCTTACGAACATGATATGACCTAATGTTAGTCAAATACAGACTCCTAATCTGAATCTCAATGTTTAAGGATTTAAATTAATGGCCCGTTAAATCTTTAAAAATTTCAAAGGTACCCTTTTTATTCATAATAAAATCCAAATTGTAACATAGTGTGTAAATAGCATTACTGCGGAGACGGACCAGGGAAGGGACATTAGCCGCCAGAAGTTGTTTGGTGCGTTTCGAAGTGGCCGAACAACGTACGCGTCGACTCAGAGAGCATGTGACAAAAGACAGGCGAAACAAAAGGTACAACGATGGGTTCACATAGAAAATTGAAAAGAAATGACGTTTTGAAAGCAGCAAAAGCAAGTACGGAACACGTGCTCCGAGTTAATTGATAACCAGTTTATTTTAACTCCGACAATGCATCTTGACTGTTACAATTTTAAGTTTATTCTTGTAACATTATTAGTTTAGATATTATAAATTTTAAAATTATTTAAAAATTATATAAATATTAATTTTAAGATTTTGAATGATTAATTGAGATGTATATCAACTGATTTGAATGCTTATAATTAATAAAAAAACAAAATAATTAGTTTATTTTTTATTTTAAAAATATTTTTTTAAGTTTTATATCAAAATAAATGATGTTATAAATAATTTTTTAAAAATTAAAAATATATTATTTTAATATATTTCTAAGTAAAATATACTTTAAAAAATAATTATTATCACACTCTTAAATACTCTTCAAATATCTTGTTGATTTATTAAACAATCTAATTTTCCTCTATTTATTTATTTTTCTTTTTTTTGTACACTAGGAGTATCTTTCAAGTTAATTTATACATCAATTAAAATGATATTCTAAAAAATAATATTAAAATTATACTCCTTATACGTGTTTGATGTGTTAAATGAAATAAATTATTTAAATACTAATTATAAAATTCAAATTTAAAAATAAGAGAAAATAGATTTTCTTAGCCATTATGGGATTACTATATACAGTTTTACTCGTGAGTTAATGATTGTTAGAGTTAGAAATGGAATTCAACTAATCGAACAATAAAAAAAAAA